CCCCAAGACAGCCCAAGAGGCCTCCAAGACGCTCCAAGGGCCTTCCAAGAGGCCTCCGAAGAGGGCCCCAAGTTGCCAAAATCGTTGATTTTCATTGTTTTTTTCGATGTTTTTTTGCGTTCTGGCCTTTTCGCTTCCGGACGCTCCAAGAGGGCCCAAGAGGCCTTCAAGACTGCTCCAAGACGGCCCACGAGGCTCCCAAGACGGCCCCGGAGCGGCCCAAGAGCGCCCCCCAGACGGCCCAAGTGCTGCCCAAGGCGGACCAAGAGGCCCCAAGACGGGCCCAAGAGGGGCTCAAGAAGGGAACCGAGAACTGAAAAATCGAGCCCTCCGCCCCAGAAGGCGCCCAGGACCCCGAAAGAGGCCCCAAGAGACTCTCCAAGACACCCCCAAGACGCCCCAATAAGCTCCCGTGAGGCCCCAAGAGGACCAACAACGTCAGGCCCCAGGCCCCAAGAGGACCAACAAATACCGCCAAGAGCCCGCCGAAAGCCCCCCAAGAGACCGTCACGAGAGCTCAGGAGGCCCCCTGGAGGCCTCCCGAGTTCTCCAAGAGGCCTAAAAAGAGGCGCCAAGAGGCCCCAAACGGCCTCAACGAGGCTCCAAGAGGCCACGAACGCGCAAGCAAACGCCTGCGATGGCACAATACGGGCCGGCGGAATGAGCGAAGCGATTATATAAATGTTGAAGGAGTTTGGAATACTCGCGCGTTCGAACTACAGGACGCCCAGTTGAGCCCCAAAGGCACCCAAGATCGCACCAAGACAGCCCAAAGGCCCTCAATACGGTCCCCCCCAAATGCCCTAATGGGGCTCCAATCAAGCCCAAAAAACGACTGGTCTGCACGTGCTCTGGACGTGCACCCCGCGAAGCGAGAGGAATCATTGATTGTTCTTAGGTTTTTCAAAGATTATTTTGGCATTCGCTTCTTCTCGGCTTTCCGACGACCCAAGACGGCCCAAGAGGCCCCCAAGATCGCCCCCACAGCGCCCAAGAGGCCTCCAAGATGGCCTCAGGACTGCAAGATGGCCTCTAAAATGGTCACGTTGGCCCAAGATGGCCTCCGAGATGGCCCAAGATGGCCTCCAAGTCGCCAAAGATGGTCCAAGATGGCTTCCAAGACGGCCTGAGAGAGTCCAAGATGCCTTCAAGTTCGTCCAAGAAGCCTCCAAGACGGCCCAAGATGACTCCAAGATGGCCGCAGACTGGCCTAGAGGCCCCCAAGAGGCCTCCAAGACGTCCTCCAGGAGGGCAAAAATCGTTGATTGTCCTTAGATGTTTGAAGGATGTTGGCATTTTCTGCTGATCAGCTCTCCGACGGCCCAAGACGGCCCAAGAGGCCCCCAACATCGTCCCAAGAGCGCCCAAGAGGCCTCCAAGATGGCCCCATGACAGCCCAAGAGGCCCCCAAGAGGCCCCCAAGAGGCCCCCAAGAAAAGCCCAACACGGCCCAAGATGGCCCCGAAGACGCCGAAGATGACCTCCAAGACGGCCAAGATGACCTCCAAGATGCCTCCAAAACGGCCAAGAAGGCCTCCAAGACAGCGAAGATGACCCCAAGATGCACCCAATACGGCCCCAGATGGCCTCAAGATGGCCTTAGACTGCCCAATAGGCCCGCCAGAGGCCTCCAAGACGGCCCAAGAGCCCTCCAAGTTGCCCTCCAGGAAGACCCGAAAGCTCGGAAACCACCTGGTCCGATAGCTCGCCCGACTCCGTGTTCCCCGAAGGCTTTCGAAACCCACTCGGGGAACGCGTGGCCCGATTGCTTGGCCAAGCTCAAGCCCAAAAGGCAGGGGGCGGCGGTGGTTCGCCGTAGGCGTCTTCGATCCGCCACCCCGTGGCCTTGCCACATGGGTGCCTGGCGTGCTAGACTCTATACGACTTAGTTTTGTTTCTTTTTTCAGAAGAACTCCCCCCGGGGCTTCGCTCCATTGCGCCGGCCACATGGGAACCGCCTTAACATCCAGAAAAAATCCCCCAAGACGGCTCAAGATGGCCTCCAAGAGGGCAAGATGGCCTCCAAGTTCGCCCAAGAAGGTCCAAGATGGCCTCCAAGACGGCCAGGGAGGGTCCAAAATGCCTCCGAGTCCGCAAAAGAAGCCTCCAAGACGAGCCAAGACGGCCCAAGAAGCCCCCAAGACGCCTCCAAGACAGCCCAAGAGGCCTCCAAGAGGTCCTCCAGGCGGGCCCGAAGAGGCCAAAATTACTGAATTGCTTTGGGCTCTTGAAAGATTGTGGCATTTGCTTCTTTCCGGCCTTCCGACGGCCACAGACGGCCCAAGAGGGCCCCAAGATCGCCCCAGGATGGCCCCAAAGGCCTCCAAGATGGCCCCAGAAGGGCTCAAGTGGCCTCCAAGAGGGCCCCAAGACGGCCCCCAGACGGCACAAGAGGCCTCCAAGACGCCCAGGATGGCCTTCAAGACGGCCCTCAAGCGCCTCAAGAAAGCCCTAAGACGGCTCAGAGAGGCTCCAAGGACGGCTTCCGACGGCGTCGGACGGGCCAGGAACGCCATAAGACAGCCAAAGAGGCCCCGAACAAGCCCCCAAAAGGCTCCCAAGAGGCCAAAGAAAGCTCCCAAGAGGCCTCCAAGAAGCCCCCAGAAAGCTCCCAGGAGACCCAAGAGTGCCCCAAGAGGCTTCCGAGAGGCTTCCTCCTCCTTCTCCTCCTACTGCCGTTTCCTTCTTCTCCTCATTGTCCTCTTCCTCACGTGTTCCCCGAAAGGCTTCAACGACAGCTGGGGGAACACATGGTCCGATAACTCTAGCCCAACTTTCGGCCACATAGGCGCTTCCAGAAAGGCAGGGCGTGGAGGTGATTCGTCGTAGGCGTCTTCGATCCGCCGCCTCCTGTGGTCTTGCCACAGGGGTGTACTGCATACCGAATGTCTGGCAGGCTTTGGGCTCCGGGTGCACGGCGGTGCACGGCAGTGCCGAATGTCCACGGGGTGCACGGCGGTGCCGAAACTCAGTGGGGTCTCGGCCCAACCCGCCAGCCACACGACCAAGATGGCTCCAAGAAAGCCCAAGATTGCGGCTCACAGACGGCCCAAGATGCACTCAAGACGGCCTAAAATGGCCTTCAGACTGCCCAAGACGGCCCAAGAGACACCCAAGAGGCTTCCAAGATGGGCCAAGAGGCTTCCAAGAGGTCCTCCAGAAGGCCCGAGGCCAGAATCCGTGATGTTCCTGAGGTTTTTGAAAGCTTCTGGCGTTTGCTTCTTGTGGGTCTTCCGACGGCCAAGAACGGCCTAAGAGGCCGCCAAGATCGCCCCAAGAGGGCCACAGAGACCTCCAAGATGGCCCCAGGACGGCCCAAGAGGCTCCCAAGAGGGCCCACAGGGCCCCCAAGACGGCCCAAGAGGCCATTAAGACGCCCAAGATGGCCTTCAAGACGACCCTGAAGCGCCTCAAGAAGGCCCCAAGACGGCTCAGAGAGGCTCCCAGGACGGCTTCCGACGGCGTCAGACGGGCCAGGAACGCCATCAGACGGCCAAAGAGGCTCCCACACGAAAGGCCCACAAAAAGACCCCCAAAAAGACCCAAGGAAGCTCCCAAGAGGCCTTCAAGGGGACCCCAGGAAGCTCCCAGGAGGCTCCAAGAATGACACAAGAAGCTCTCAAGAGGTCTCCTCATCCTTTTCATCCTCCCGGTGCCTCCCTCTCTTGATCCTCCTCTTTCTCCCCAACGTGTTTCCCGAAGGGCTTCCACAATGGCTGGGGGAACGCACGGACCAATAGCGTGGCCACACTTTGCCCAAACGTTTGGCCACGTTGGCGCATCCTATTAGGCAGGGGGCGGCGGTGATTCGCCTTAGGCGTCTTCGCTACTTCAGGGAAGCTTTCAGGCAACCTCCGGCAAGAACAGCTGGCACGCGCGCTGCGGCACGACCATCGGGGCTGCGCACCACTTCGCCAAACTCCCAGAAAGCGGCCAGTGATGCGCCACCGGCGTCCTAGATCCAGCCGCTCCCGCCTGCTCGCACCATCTGATCCAGCAGGGAGACCTGGCGCTCCTGGCACACATAGTGCAAGTCAAAGTCTGTTCGCATAATCCACGGAGCGAGCCACTATATGCGGCCATGAGATCGGAGCGATGATCGATGCTGGCTGGGATGTGCTATGGATTTGCAAGAAAAGACTACTGTCGAGATCAACCTACGTTAGCTTCAAGTTGGAATCGGGTGGGGCCAGGCTAGCAGGAGCGGTCATCCCCTTTGGCCCAAGTGGATATTGAGCCAAAATGGCTACGGGGCACGAGGAGGAGCGAGGAAGAATACGAGGAATGAGGAGGATGAGTTGCGCGTGGGCGGCCAGAAAGTCGGCTCAGCAAGATGAATTTGGAATGAAGATGGGTTTAACGTCTCCAGAACTCCGACACGATTCGTGTCATGATGTCGAAGGCATGCGTACATCCACAAGGACCTCGAAAATACAAATTCCCACACTACCTTTGGCCGTAGCTCGGGGCTCCAGAACCATGTTTGCCGATCCTGGGGCCCCAGAAAGTCCCCCGTGAAAAGGCCATTGCTGACAGCGGCTGACATGAAAGTCCAACTCAACTGACTTCAAAGAACAAACAACAGGTTTCACAAGCCAGAGTCATGAGAGTTGATGTCCGCGCGGGAATACATTCTCCTCGTCAGTGACGTTCAAAAGAGCGAGGGCGGAAAGCTCGAGGGTTGCAACGCGGGCCCCTACGCGGCCCCAGATCCAGCCGATATCTGCGCCTTCTCTCAAAGCGCCAACTACAGCATCCCCCACACAGAGGACGCCCTCCTTTGACGGAAACGCTCGGGGGGGGGCGGCTCGGGGGAACGGCGATCGCCCCCCCCCCGACAGCAAATCCGCACGTTCCTGGGCGGGGTGGGCTAACTATCCAGCCTCTCTCGGCGATGACCGGGGGATTGGGAATCGATGCACCGCCTCGGAGCCCATCCCCCTCTAACGCTGCCCCTGCTCCTTGAGGGCGGCCAATCCCAGGAGCAGCAGCCGGCCCGCCTGGCGCACGACCACTGCCGCCTGGCTGCGGGCTGCGCTCGCGCACCGGCGCCGGCCGGCCCCGCTCCGCCCCCGCCCGCCGCTCGCCCCCTGCGCTGCCTCGCTCCTCCGTCTTCGTGGGACACCAGGGTGGAGCAGATTATGGGCTCCTCCTCCTCCTTCTCCTCCTCCTCCTCCTCCTCCTCCTCCTCCTCCTCCTCCTCCTCCTCCTTCTTCGTGGGACACCAGGGCGGAGCAAATTATGTGCGGAGCCCAGTCTCATCCTCGCTCTTCCTCGTCCTCGTCCTCCTCCTCCTCCTCCTCCTCCTCCTCGTCCTCCTCCTCCTTTTCCTTCTCCTCCCCCTCCTCCTCCTGGCGTTTCCTGGTGCCACCGAGGTCCACCCCTAAAGGCTTCCCGCATACCCCGTGCTGGCCCTCACGAGGCCACAAGGGTGGAGCAAATGATGTGCGGAGCCCAATGCGGACGGAACCACATGGCGGAAAACAGCCAGAAGCTGGCACACCGCTCAGCAGCCACTGCTGGATGTGTGGAAGCCCGTGGCGGCAAAGACTGGAACGTGGCATCCCAGGGCAGTTCCTTACAGGACAAAGAGGAAGCAAATACTGGCGCAGTCGGGGGAACTAGCAAGTACAAACAATCCGCTACCGCGCTTGCAGCGATTGGTGTGTAACGGGCACTTGTTGCGAAACAGTAATTCGAGCGTCCCGACACATCGAGCCCAAATGACTTTCCCTTGCTTCCACGCAATACACAATGCCGAAAACACCGATTCGGGCAGGCTCGTTCCGGGAGCTCTCCCCTTCCGAGCGCCCACCGACACCCCGCCCCCGCCTGAGGGGGAACGTCAGCAGAGGACCAGCTCAGGGAGGGGAAACATCGGCCTGGAATCGGCGGTACATCGCCCATAGATCGGCGATAGGCCCACGATAGCCCATCCAGGCGCTCCTGGGCGGGTCTGGGTTGGGAGTCGATGCGTCCCCCCTGAGCCTATCCACCCCTGACGTTGCCCCTGACCCACCCCCAGACCACCCCCCAGCCCCTCCCCCTCTCCCAGGCGCCTGCCCGAGCGCGATGGCCGAGCTGCGCCTGCAAAGCAGACGGATCACAGTACGACAAGAAATACGGTCATTCGGGGATGGACAGACCCCCCTTTAGTAAAACGTGGTTTAGTGAAAACGACCTGAGGCCCAAACCTGGCGGGTGCAAGCCTGGAAAATAACGACCACGGCGCCCTCTCGAGAACCGAAAACGGACAATTCACTAATCGACTTGTCACTGTTGGGGGTTCTGTCCACCCCCGAGTCATGAACCCTGGCTTAGCGTGTCACTCCGCCGATTCTGGCCCACCACGCTTCGGAGCCACACGCGATCCACGTCCCAGTCCCCGAGAGTCAATGCCCCGAGCCTTTCCTAGCCTCCCGCCCCGCGGAGCGGAGCGACACGCCATCCGTCTGCAAGGCACAGCGCGTCGCCAGGGCAGCCGCCGCGACACGCTAAGCAAAAGTTCCCGACCGTATACCTTGGCGGCGCGCACAAGTGGGGTAGGGGGAGGGAGGAGGGCCTTTTAAGGAGGAGGCTGCTTCTTAGAAAACGCCGACCCTTACATCTACAGACAAGGCCCGCACCTTCTAAGAAGCAGGTTGCTTCTAAAAAGCCCCTCCCCCTCCACCCTACCTCCCTCTGCGCGTGTCTAAATACCGCTGGCACGTGGCCGGCAAAATCAAGACCGGCGGTCTTAACAACACCGCGCTGCCTGGAGGTCCGCGTGTCCGAAGCCTTTGGAGGGACTAAGGAGGGGGACTACGGAAGGGGAGGCGGGAGAAGGGAAAGACGAAGGAGGAGGAGAAAGAGGGATGGAGGAGGAGGAGGAGGAGGAGGAGGAGGAGGAGGAGGAGGAGGGTGACGGAAGAGGGAGGAGGAGAACGGTGGAGGAAGAGGAAAGACGAAGGAGGAGGAGGAGGAGGAGAAAGGAGGGAGGAGGGAGGAGGGGAGGAGGGGCAGAAGCGAAAAAGGAAAGGGCACAAGCGGAAAGAGGAAGGGAACTGGTGGCGGGAAGAGACTCGGACGGGAGGAAGAGGAAAGACGAAGGATCAAGAGATCGACGAAGGTCAGCTGGTGCGCACGCCCCCTGCAGCCCGGGCCCCGCGCGAACGCGCGCTGAAGGCCCCCTCCTCGGGTTGCGGCCACACGCCCTGGACGCCCGAAATGGGCACGGAAAAACTGCGCACAATGCCCAACAAGACGTGTTATCCACAACCAACAGCGGCCGCTGTTGCGCAGGCAACCTTCTGTCTCAAATGGACAAGGCCCACGGTGGCACTCACAACAAATCCAGTCCAACATGACCAAGAACGGCTGTCGGGCATCGTGCCCAATTTTTCCGTATCCACGTCGGCCGTCCTGACACGCGAGGGCATCCCGAGCTCAAGGCGACCGCGGGGCCGGCTGCATCGACCCGCACTCGCGGCCACAGGCCGCCCAGGATCGATGGGATCCCGCGGCGCCGCGCCGAGGGACGCCGAGGCAGATCGCGCGCGGGTGTCGCCGCATGAGATCCGACGTCGCGACAAAAAATCGCAACATCGCGAGTATCATCTTCCTGCGGCACTTCCCGAGCCAGATTGATCTGCAAGGGCCCCGCGGGGCCCGAGGTTGTGCAACAACGCCTGGCTCGAAAAAGGTCATGCAATCTCTGAGTTGTTCCATACGCAGTCCCCAGACGACCCCCGACCCTGTCCCTGTGGCTGTTGCTTCAACCCCGCTGGTTCATGGCTGCATCTCGTGCGAGTGAGAAATGAAGGGATGGGGCAAAGGCAAAAGCTGGCCAGGGCCTCCTGGCACAGGCTCGCAAGATCCGGGGTTGCCCGCCAAAGCCAGCACTCTCAGCCTCCTCCTCCTCCTCCTCCTCCTCCTCCTCCTCCTCCTCCTCCTCCTCCTCCTCCTCCTCCTCCTCCTCCATTCCTTCTCCTTGTAGATAACTCCTCCCTGTCGCACCCCGAGGCCAGTATTTAGGGCGGGCCGTGCGTTTCGCCTGAGACTCCCCCACCACTTATGACACTGAAGCATCAAAAATGACAACAATTTCACGGATGGAAGGCGGGTCGCTTTCAAAATGTGGCTCTCGCCTTACCGCCGCGCACATTCGTTTTAAAAAATTGCAAGAGCTTCACGGATTGAGGGCGGGTCGCGTTCAAAATGTGGCTCTCACCTTACCGCCGCGCACATTCTTTGAAAAAATGTGCAAGAGCTTCACGGATTGACAGCGGGTCGTTTTCAAAATGTGGCTCTCGCCTTAGCGCCGCGTACATTCGTTTTGAAAGATCGCAAAAAGTTTCGTCGATTGAGGGCGGTTCTTTTTCAAAATGTGGCTCTCGCCTTCGCGTCGCGCACATTCGTTTTTTTAAGATTGCAAGAGCTTCACGGATTGAGGGTGTGTGGTTTTCAAAATGTGGCTCTCGCCTTAGCGCCGCGCACATTCGTTATAAAAGTTTGCAAGGGTTTCACGGAGGGTGCTTCATTTTCAATATGTGGCTCTCGCCTTAGCGCCGCGCACATGCATTTTGCAAGAGTTTACGGATTCCCATGATCAATGTACCAGAAACAGTGTCTGGGAAGGCTTCAAGATTATGCAGGCGCAACAAGATTCGCTGTGTTGAAGTCCAAAAAAAGGCGTTCTGACACGATTCTGGATCGTCAAAACGCAGCAGTCAGGTTGACACGTGGCGTTGAAATCCCGAGAACAATGTTTTGGCACGCTTCAGAATATTCCAAGTGTTGTCTTCCAGCGAGGCAGTTCCCTCAGTGGAAATGACCCGTTGTATGGGGCCTATGACAGGGGAGCTTGGAGAGAGGGTGAATTCCAACATCGTTGATGACTCTTTGGTTTCCACTGGTCCTCCTCCTCCTCCTCCTCCTCCTCCTCCTCCTCCTCCTCCTCCTCCTCCTCCTCCTCCTCCTCCTCCTCCTGCTCTCTGGTCCACACACCCCCTGTCGCCGCGTGTCGCCCGTGCAGCGGGCGGCGCGCAGGCTGCGGTGGGACGGCCACAGGCGGCCTTGCGCGGCCAGGGCCTGTCAGGGGCCCCCCTGGGGTTTGGCGATTCACCCCAAACCTCGTTCCCGTCTTGAAATTCTTTACGGGTTTAGCACCAGCCCACTCGCCTCGCGGTTCTGTGGAACCGCCTTCTGCGGCGTTCTGCGGCAGCCTATGCCGTGGCATCTATGTGGGTCATCTGTGCCACCTCGGCGAGGGTGAAAATGTGGCCGAAAATGTATACGCGATGACGAACACTGGCGGCTGCAACTCGGGTCGCCTCTGCGCGAGAGGAGGTGGAGCGAGGATCACGGTCGTGAGAGGCTACCAGGCAAGCCGCGCAGCCTAAGTCCCACGGCCACTCTTTCGCCGCTGGCGCCGTGAGCCGCGCTGCCAGGGAGTCTCCGGGCGGGTCCGAGGAGAGGCGTAAAAGTGCGCGAGGGGGGGAGAGGGACCCCCAGGGGATGGCCGCGGAATCGGCGGAGCCCAGGGGGGGGAGACCGAGGATGATGAAAAAGGAGCGCGGGTGAGGGTGGTGGCGCTGGCGAAGTGCGGATTGCACGTGAGCGACTGGAAGGGGGGGCTCACCACCCCGTTCGTCGTGAGGGCCGTCGGGAGGAGGGCGTGGGGCGGTGGCCTTCGTGGGGGCCGCCGGGTGGGCGGGACGGGGTCCAGTCCTGCGCAGGGTCGCAGTGCACAAGCTGCTCGATCTCCGAGTCGTGGATGGAGACGGTTTTGACCCAGAGCCTGTCCTTGCCTCAAGGTATACCCTGCGTGCGGCTGGTAGCTTTCTGGGCGGCCTCCTCGGTCTCGAAGTGGGCGCAGCCATGGCCCCGCGGGCAGCCGTGCTCGTCGGAGAGGAGCCAGCAGTTCCAGATCGTGCCGAAGAGGCTGAAGGTGGCGTTCCGTGCCTCGTTCTCGATGCGACGTCCGAGGCCTGTGACGAGTGTGCGCCGATTCGCAGTCTTGCGCGGATTGTCCTCGTCATCCTCAGGGCGGGTCTCGCCTGACGAGACAGCGCTGTCCCAGCGCTGTCTCGGTGGTCGTGCTCTTGGGGGGAGTCCGCGAGGCTGTCGTGCAGGCTGTCAGCGAGGCCGTCGCGGTGGCCGTCGCGGGGGGCAGGTGCGGGGGCTGTCGTGGTAGCCACGGCCGTCTTCGCGCCCGCCGCGGCCGTCGCCGTCGCAGGGGTCGCCGCGGAGGCTCGTCGCGGGCGTCGCCGTCGCAGAGGTCGTCGCCCAGAGGCCGTCGCAGAGGGCGTCGTCGGGGGGCCATGGCGGGGTCGCGGGGCAGGGCGCCGTCGGCTCGGTGGTCCTGTCGTCCGCCCGGTCACCCGAGAGAGAGAGAGAGAAGCGCTGCTGGCGCAGCCGTGGGGCGCCGTCGTGGGGTTCGTCGCCGGGGCCGTCGCCGGGGCGGTCGCGGGGGGGCGTCGCAGGGGATCGTCGCGCAGCGGCCGTCGTAAGGGTTAGGCGTCGTGGCGGGTCACGGGAGCGTTGATGTTGAGGGGGAGGTGGTGGGACCGTCGTCTGGGTCTGGTGGGGGGTCCCAAGAAGCGTCGCTAGCAGTCCCTATGACCGCTGCCCCAGACATGCCCTTCGCGGGCTCCCTCGCAGGGCATGGGGCCACACGGGATGCCGAGCCCGCCGCGGAACAGGCGGCGCCAGCCTTGGCCTGGCCAGCGGCCCCTGTGGGCACTTCCTTGGGTATGCCCCCCTCGGTTTCCCTCTCAGGGCACGCGGGGCCACTCGGGGCGCCGCTGCCACGGTGGTCGTGGCGGCCGTCGCGGGGGTCGTCGCGGGGGCCGTCGTGGGACTCGTCGTGGGGGTCGTCGTGGGGAGGGGGGGCACGCGCGGGGGTTATCGTGGGGGGCTCCAGGTGGTGGCTTTCCCGGGCATGTCCCAGCGGGCTCCCTCTCAGGGATGCGGCCACTCGGGATGCCGAGCCCGCCGCGGGGCAGGCGGCGCCAGCTTTGGCCTTGCCAGCGGCCCCTGTGGCCGCTTCCCCGGGTATGCCCCCCACTGGCTCCCTCTCAGGGCACGCGGGGCCACTCGGGGTGCTGCCGTCGTGGGGGCCGTTGGGTGGGGGGTCGCGGGCGCCGTCGTGGGGGTCGTCGTGGAGCCCGTCGCGGGACTCGTCGTGGGGTCGTCGTGGGAGGTGGGGGCACGCGTACGGCAAGGACGTCGTGGGAGACCGTCGCGGTGGTGGTTCGTGGGAGCCGTCGTGGTGGTGGGTCGGGTGGGGGGCTCCGGGTGGTGGCGTCGGCTGTTCCAATCACCGCTTCCCCAGGCATGCCCCCCGCCGGCTCCCTCTCAGGGCATGCGGCCACTCGGGACGTGGCTGGGGGGGCGTGGAGTCCGTCGTGGGGGCACTGAGGCAAGGGGTTGTGCGGGGTCTGGGTAGCAGGCGCGCGCTGGGATGTCGGGAGACAGGCGGAGAACCCCGTCGTCGCCGTAAGCATCGTTGGCGTCGGTGGCCCAGTAGCCGGGTGGCACGACCGGGACGAAGATGGACGGTTCCTTCCTCATGGTGGAGGTCGGCCTGTCCACCTGGGCGAGCGCTGCACGGCTACGGTACTCCAGGTGCCTGAGCGCCGTCTCCATGGCGAGCTGACGCCTTCGGCGCGCTCCTCGTCGGGCAGCTGTGGCCACCAACGTTGCGATTTCTTGGGAGCGGATGCTTGAGGGCCGCCTCGCGTTCAAGCAGCCCCCCAGTGCCATGGCTCTGGCGAACCTAACGGGGGATCGTACAGGAGGTAGACGAAACGGAGCCTAAAAGGTGTCAAGATAAAAAAATGTATAGATGAGGGATGAAGAGACCTCAGGTTATCGTGGCCTGTCGGCGCACTGCCACTTACAGGCCTCTATCTCTTGGCGGTTGGTGGCTTCCTCCTCCTCCTCCTCCTCCTCCTCCTCCTCCTCCTCCTCCTCCTCCTCCTCCTCCTCCTCCTCCTCCTCCTCCTCCTCCTCCTCCTCCTCCTCCTCCTCCTCCTCCTCCTCCTCCCCTCCCTCCCCGCCTCAGGCCGCGGACGCTCCAGGTCCCGGCTGGCGGACGCTCCGTCCCCCCTGCCCTGATCTCCGGGCGCTGCCACTTTTCCGCAACGGACGGCTTCGCCGGGCCCCCAGACCACCCGGCCCTTGCCCGCCTCCGGGGGCCCTCGACGGGCCCAGGGACCGTCCAGGCCAGCCGCCCGCGCCGCTCGGCCGCGGAGCGCCGTGCGCAGGAGCACCGCGCTCAGGCTCGGGCTGCCCAGTGCCTGGTCAAGGCGTTCGCGGCCTTCGAGCACCGCGGGTGCCGCCCCTCCCGCCTGGGTACGGCGCTGGGCGCTGCTCTGCGCACGGGCTTTCGCTCACCTGGTCCAAGCCAGGCTCCTGATCTTCGGACGCCCGAAGTGGGTACGGAAAGAATGGGTGCGATGCCCAACAACAAGTGTTGCCACAAACCAACAGCGGCCGCTGTTGGGCAGGCGGCCTTCTGTCTCGAATGGACACAGGCCGCGGCGGCGTGGACAGCGAGTCCTGTTCAAAATGAACAGGAACTGCTGTTGGGAATTGTACCCGTTCTTTCGTGCCCATTTCGCTCATGCAGATGATCATCCTCGTGGTGGGCTTCGAGACCTGGCAGCCGCCGGCCGGGACGGCGAGCCCAACGTTCGAGGAGGGTCTTCGGCGGCTGCCGGCCAGAGGAGTGCTGGACATACGCACCGCGCGTCCTCAGACTCGAAATGACGATGCCAGAGTTGGTGCTGGAGCATCCAGAGTTGATCAAGTCGCAGCTTCTGGGGTAGTTCCTGCTGTCTCGCCTGGTTATGCGAATGCAACTCTGTTCGGGACAGATTGTGTGGATCCGACAATTCGTTGTTTCAAGCAGCACTGCATCCGGGAAGCTGAGCAGCAGCTTTGCCAGACCACAACGGCATTCGAAATACTCTCTCAAGAACAATTCCAGCGTTTCCGACTCGGTTCTTGATAGGGTCAATGTACCATGTGCAGTCCCAGGGCAGTGGCTCAATCGAATCATGGACCAAAGCGACCCCGACTCATGGACCAACGATGGGGATGGGAATGGGTTAAGCGATACTGAATCGAGTGGGAAGAACCGTGCTCGGCGCTTCGGGCTGGGGAAGCCCGTATCCAGCATCACCGCGCCTTGGGAGGGCGGCGGGGGGAAAACAACAGCGGCGGGCTCAAGCCGCAAGGACTCTCGAACCCGTAGTGGAGAGAGAAGGGAGAGAGGAGCAGGGAGGAGCAGGGAGGAGCAGGGAGGAGTAGGGAGGAGGGCGGAGGGCCAAAGGACGGGGAGGAGCAGCCATTCTTCCCCAACATCCCTCCCTCCCTCGCTCCCACCCTCGCTTGACCTCTCCCTTGACCTCTCCCTCCCCCCTCCCTCCCTCCTCTAGAAGCCCTGCCGATCGCGGGGAGACCGCCTTGGGCTCCTCGTAGTACCCTCGCGCGCGGATGCGGTCGAATAACTGACCGCCCTGACCAGCGCGGATGGGTTGGCGCGGGCGTTTCCAGCCAGGCCCTCCTCCTCCTCCTCCTCCTCATCCTCCTCCTCCTCATCATCATCATCATCATCAGCAGCATCAGTATCAGCATCATCATCATCATCATCATCATCATCAGCAGCAGCATCATCATCAGCATCATCAGCATCATCATCATCATCATCATCACCATCACCATCACCATCACCATCACCATCACCATCACCATCCTCACCAACAGCAGCATCATCACCATCATCAGCATCAGCATCATCATCAGCAGCAGCATCAGCATGATCATCATCATCAGCAGCATCATCATCCTCATCATCATCAACATCATCATCAGCTGCAACGGCATCAGCAGCATCGTCATCATCACCATCGTCGTCATCATCAGCATTATCATCATCGACATCAGCATCAGCAT